TTGAAATAATTGATCAAATAAAAGTACGTAATCCTAGTAAAATTGAATTTACTAGAGAAATTTGAAAGTTTTGGGACCTTGAGTCGAAAATTTAAAGATGTATACTTATATGAAAAGTAAATGAGAAAAATGAAGTCGTAACATGTATTGCACGATTTTCAAAATGATAAGTTTTGCAAAGATAGTAGTGGATGCAATCACAAGTCCATATCTTGTCACCTTGACTATGCACAAAATTTGAAATACAATTATAGTTAGTTCATTTGGTTTGACTATTAATATTATCCTTGAAGTATTTAATATGTTTAAAGTATATAATTCAAGTGATATTATCATGAAGTGATTAAATATGTGTTGTACTCTTTTTCCCTTGATCAAAGTTTTGATCTATTCGATTTTTCTAGCAAGGTTTTATTGAGATGGCTTTTGTATCGTGCTCAAAATAATAATACTATTTTTCCGATTTTTTTCACAAGGTTTTTTCTTAATAAGGTTTTCACATGTTTTTTTCACATTCTTTTGTGTAATGATATCCATAACCTACAAGACATTTTCCCTTCAAAATAATATTTTTATATGTTACAAATTGTGTACAACTTTCGAAGAGAGCAACAATACAATCTATTTTTCAACAGATGATCACGTGACTCTAAAGATAAATAAAGATTGATAAATATCATCTACGAATACGATATTGCTTGAAGGTTACAACAAAACAACATGAAACGTGCTTCACCAGAATTGTAATATTGAATACATTGACGTATAAAATACGGATGGCTCGACACAAGGATTTTTATCCATTGAAATCGAGGGGTGAGTAGTTGTACTCTTTTTCATTAACTCAAGTTTTGCTCCATTAAATTTTCTGAACAATATTTTAATGAGGCAAATATTATATTTTGGCCAAAAATCAGAATAACTATGACGTAGGAGCCACCCAGAATAGGAGCAAATAATGACCACAAAATTTTTTGACCAAGAAAAGGACAAAAGTATTGGAACGAAAGAAAAATAAATAAAATTGCGCTGACAAAGATAAAGTAGCGAAACGAAGTGGTAGGATGAGTGGACCACTCACCAAAAACCAAAGCGGAAGACTTGTTTTGTTTAACTGATACTAAAATTGGCTTTAATATCATGTTAGAACAAAGAAAATGTAAAATCTTTAGGTTTCTTGTGTATTACAATATAGATGATCCGTTCATAATGTCACAATTAGTCTTAAAAGGAAAATTGCGTGTTGAAGATAATGATTTGAAACTAAAGAGTCAAGACTTAAATATCCACCTGTCAATACGTGATAAGCTTTGGCCCATGTCGTGCCGTTCTCTAACACTTCTACGCATCCTAAAGCTTGCATTCGTCTTAGGGCGTATACGGTAGAGATTAAAATCGGATTAAAATTGAAAAACTAGCAGTTATTATTGACTTTTATTAGACGAGTGGGACCCAATGACGAAAATATTTTCAATTTTAATTGGATTTTAAGCTAGTCCGAACAAGTCCTTAGTAAATATAATTGCATCCTTAAATTAAATATTGTAATAATTTTGTGCATTATTTTTAAACATATTTACATTTGAATTACATTTAAATACAAACTTAACATTCTATATGAACATTTCTTTGTTGTGGGCAGATGTGGTCAAACATTTGAAATTTAAATACAAACTTAACATTCTATATGAACATTTCTTTGTTATGGGCAGATGTGGTCAAACATTTGATTAACTTGTATAATAAATTATGACTTTGGAGGACAGAAAAGCTGCAAACGTCGCAATGAAGATACCAAATACTTGTCTCCTGGTAATGAACAGTTGAACATAAATAAACTTTTCCAACATTAACTTTCACAATTTTCAATAAAATTCATTAATTAAAACAACCTTAAAGACATAGAAGATGTCACGCTAAACAATATCGTGATAGATTCATGTAGTATCATGTGCTTGATTCTGTAATCTTTTTCAATAAGGTTAATTTGAGTTCGTCCATGTTTGGTAACCATTTTTTTGAAAAAACATTATTTTGAATAGTGAATTCTCAAAAAATATGTTGTTAAAAGTAGAGAATTTTTTTGAATTTACGTATAAAATATTTTATTGTATGAATGTATGATTAAAAATAAGTATAGAGAAAAAAGTGTTTTGAAAAAATGAGAGACAGTGATGGCTCAGTAATATCTTATAAATTTCTAATCTCCGCCAAACAAAATATTTATTGTGCAATAGGATAGTGTAATAGATACTGTGTGATATGACATGTTATTGATTTATTGACGATTATTGCACTGAGAGGGTATTAGAATAGTGAATTCTTGAAAAATTAACATCCCAAATATTCACATATCAAACATTTCATTCTTTTTTTATGTGAGTTCATGACTTATGGACTATCGATTGGTAGATTGGGATGTTAATTAATATTCAAATTTTAATTTTAATCAAAATCAACAATTAATTTTAATCATACACCGTTTAGATCCCCAACTTTTTAACAACAAACTTCGTAAAAAAGTCAAACGGTGTAGAGAACGAGCTCAAATGGCGTTATTTGATGAACAGAAGTTTGAGAATGTCAAACACCCCTTACCTCTAAGTTCAAACCAACTTAAGATAAGCCAATTTTAATTATTTGTATAATAAATGTGTTGATTTGAAACTCATCATTCTCCATTGTGGAATTTAACAAGTGGAGTCATGCATTGTTGAATTCCTTCTCCTACACTCCACTTATTAATTACTAGCCGCAACTTGGCATCCGCACACTGTTTCCTTGACTCTCTTCCATGTGCTTTATGATTCGGAAATGTCCAAATCATGGAATCACAATGGGGCAACAAGTAAATTATTTTTATGCTGTGTTGACTTTTTCTTGCCGTTCAAATGTAGATTCATCTATGGCTCAATTAAGAAGAAGAGTATTCAAAAAGTATATGATCTATTTGTGGCCATGAGTGAGCAAAGTGTTATGTGACCTGATAGGGGTTCATAAAGAGGAGTTAGTAGAGCTCGAGATGGTGAAACATTTTCAATGGTTCTAGCAAAGATTGAGTCCCTAGCAAAGAAGGTAGAATGACTTTCTACATCTACCTCTAGCTCTCATTCCGCCCATATGATACAATCGGACAATCCCCACCTATTTGTGATATCTATGGAGCAAATTACCCAAGTCCGAGTTGCCCATTAATAGGTAGTAGTTTGGCATCCACCGAGCAAGTGGCATATACTCAAAATTTTCAACGCCAAGTGTATAATCCTTACTCTCAAACTTAGAACTTCGGTTGGCGAAATCATCCAAACTTCTCTTATGGGAACAATCAAAATGTGCTAAATCTGAGACCACAAGAGAAGAAAGAAGGATGGGAAGAGACCATTGCTAAGTTGGCGAACCATCAGTTGCAATATTAAGAACGCAATGATGCTTCCATAAAACATTTGGAGCGTCAAGTGGGCCAAATAACTAAGCTTCTTTCCGAAAGGCAGCAATGAGCATTGCTTAGCAATACCGAAACAAATCCAAGAAAGAATGTGCAGCTATTACCACTAGAAGTGGGGTGCAATTACCCGAAATTACGGTGAACTCCCTCCCAGATTTTGCTACTCTCGTATTAAAATGGTAAATAAATGGTCATCGAAAATTATGTGGAGGAAAAAAATTGAATGAAAAAGATGATTGTATTTTAAACTAATAAATCGTAGAGTGACATGTGACATTATATAATCCCTTATATAAATCTTGATATACATGTAGCAAGATCCATCTATCCCTGAATGGAGGGAGGAAGGGAGGGAACATTTGGGTGAAAGTCATCCAACTTACACCTTTGTTTCATATTGATCATCTAGCTTCGGTTTGTTTCAATTTGATCATCTAGTTGATATGTATATTTTAGATTGACACGCTGTGTGTGACACATCCAACTAGGTTGATGGAATTTGTGACATATTATATGGTAAAATAGCATAGCAGCTAATTCAAACAAGTAGAAAGAAGATCGAAAAACAAAGAATATAAAATTCTTGATTCAATCACTTAGTACCTGTTTGATTTAGCTCAAATTTTTAGTATATCGTGATAAATATTGATGAAATGTATAACTGAAAAGTTGATAAAAGTTGTAGATCACATAATGTGTATTTGAAAATGAATTTTTTTTTCTTTTTTTTAAACAAAAAAAGAGTTTCGAAAAATGGTTCCAAACCTGGGCTTGGTTTCCTTATTAGTAGCTAATTTGTCAAAAAATAAAAATAAAATAAAAATAGAAAGATCTCACACACAAAAAGAATTCTCAAATTATTCACTCAATTTTCTTGTTAGTAGGGATGGAAATTGGAAGGGGATTAAAAAATTCTATTTCTCCACGTACTTGTACTTTTATTTGTTTAAAATATAGTTAAAGTTTAAAAACATAAAAAAAATTGTAAATGAGTGTTTAGGACAAGAACAACTTTCCAATCTCTTCGATTAATCAAGAGATCCTTGCTCCCTTCTAGACAGGTTGAGATGAGACATTTTGTCATCCCTACATATTAGTCGAACTAGTGATTTAATGCCACACAAAAATTTGGTTGTACTATAGATCAATCATGTACACAAAATCTTTAAGCTGAAATATAAACGTAAATCCAGGTATCAAAACAAAGCAAAACAAATTGAAGTTTGATAACGAAATTGCAACAAACAAGTTGGGTGACCTCTAAGGAAATTTCTTCCCTCAATCAAACCTCGCTGGGCCCACCCCTTGTGGCCCCCACAAATTCTCCGGCGCCACTCAACCTTACCTTCTTGCTCTTGATCAAAATCATCACGTATGTCATCTATTGCCACCTCAACAAAATTGCACAAAAAATCAGTCCACCAATTATCAAAAATCAAATCTGGCCTCCCAGCATGTAACAGCCCAGAAGACTAGAATGGACTAACAAATACTGAGATTTTTCCTCAAAAATCACAACCATCCAAATCTAAGAAAAACTCTTTTCCCACTATCGATGGAGAATCACTCGAACAATTCGTACCCGGAATCCGGCAACTCATCGCCACGATCCCGAGAAATCGAATTTGAAAATCCACCGCCATGGGAGGATGGGCAGATGCCAACAAATTCCAAAGTCAAGTTCATGTGCAGCTATGGCGGAAAAATCCACCCTCGTCCTCATGACAACCTGTTATCTTATATTGGGGGCGAGACTAAAATATTGGCAGTTGATCGAAACATCAAATTTGGGTCTCTGCTTTCCAAGCTGACTGCGTTGTGTGATAATGACAATATTTCGTTTAAATATCAGTTTCCTGGTGAAGATCTGGACGCTTTGATCTCGGTTACGAATGAAGATGATTTGGAGCACATGATGCATGAGTATGATCGGCTGTATAGGGTTTCTCCAAAACCTGCGAGGCTAAGATTGTTTATTTTTTCGAATCCGCATGGGAGTTTGAATTCTTCAGCGAGGAGTTTTGGATCGGATGAGGTGAAATCGGAAAAGGAGAGGTTCGTGGAGGCGTTGAATACGGGGCCTGTACCGACGGCGCCATCTCCGCCTGCAGCTGAGGCGGCGGCAGCCATGACTGCTTCGCCTCAGCCACTGCAACAGAATAATAATGTGGATTTCTTATTTGGCTTGGAGAAAGGAAATAGAATGGTGCCTCCGCAGCCTCCAATGGTGGGGAAGCTTCAGGAGGCGGTGGATCCTGCTGTTCCGAATTTAGAGGAGAGGTTGATGGGATCAGATCCGATCCAGAAGCACATCCAGGATTTGCATAGGCTGAGGCTTGAAGAGCAGCAAGGGATATACAGAAAAAAGAGCGATGATAATCTTGCCGGAGGATTCGCCGGCAGTGAATACTATAAGGTGCCGGAGAAAGTGTCGCCGGTCACTATGCCGAGAGGCGTTCCAATGCCAACTGGGTATTGGCCTGAAAAGCAGGTCAGCGGCGGAGGGGTATTTCCGGCAAGTTCTCTGAACACGGAACAACCAGTTTACGTTATCCCCGGTCCAGCAGCGGGTGCATATCACGCGCCTCCGATGGCGAGGCCCGTGAGTGGACCCAACGGCCAGGGATACTACGCCGTCCAAAGGATGCCACCGGAGGTTTTCCGTGACCAAGCACCAGCATATAATGTCATGACATCAGTACCACCACCACAGGCAGCCGTGCCATCGATGACGGCAGCACCACAGACACTGTCGCCGCAGAAGGTAACTGGGTATTCCGAAGGCTACGGGATGGTGAGAACCACAACCACAGGCGGTGGCGGAGGAGTTGGGATTGTGACGGAGGCGGGTTACACACAGGTGGCGTACGACGGCGGAATGGGTAGGCAGGTGATGTACACAGCAGCGCCGGGAGTAGTAATCGGGTCGCCACAACAAGTTCAACAGGCTCAATATCAAGCAATGGCAGCAGCTGCAGAATTGAGATCGACTGAATCTGGAAGCAGCAGGGGTTGATTTTAAGGTTGGTGATTATCATGATATAATATAGAATTTGAATTTATGAATAAGTAATTTCGGTGTTCATTAGACGACTGCCGTGTATATTTGCACTTGTTACTGTCTTTATATTACTATGATTGAAATTCACAGTTGTGGATACAATCTTGCATGGATTTTCTTCCATTTTTGTTATAAATTCTTCCGAAACAGACGTTAAATCGACAATTTAGTACAAGAAAACAGCAGAAAGCGAAAAAGGTATAAACAAGTTGGTTTGATATTTCTGGAATCTTCAAAAGGCATCGAATCCCTTCTTTTACAGCCTCTAAAAAGAATTGTAATAGATTAACTATGATGTCAATCGAGAGTCGATTTCATGTACATCCCTTCGAAAACAGGAAGTTGGGAGACAACTGTCTGCAAGTAAAAAAGCCACATATTCGAATGCCCTGTTATCCTACGATATTGTCTGAGGTTGACATGCACAAAAATACATTAATCTCAAGCTCTAGTCATGCCAAGACTTGAGAACACTAAATTAAATAATAATTTTGACCAATAATTAGCAAAAGCATAGAAAAAATGTTAGATGATAAGCATAGGAGTTGGAATTTCCTTACACAAGTGTACTACCAAGGGCCCCACCTTCCATTGCTAATCTTTTATTTTTTATTTTTTTCTATTCCCTTAGTAGCCCACCAATTCACACCATTCCCAAACTTCTTCAATGAATTCTTACCAATTCGGAACATTGGTCATCAATCTATGGTTTAAATGTTAATTACATCCCCAACTTTTTAAAGAAAAAGTTAATTTGATACTCAACATTGAACCACACTGTACAAAATTAGTCTTGGAGCACAACCTCTCGTATTGGGTACAATGTTTTAGAAACAGCCTAAACATCGATTGTAAAAAGTAAAGAATCAAGTATCAAAGATCAAGTCGAGGTTGATTCGATAAGAAAAAAGTTGAACTAATAAACAAAAACAAATTTCCTAATGTGAACTAGTTGGATTTAGTTGTGAATCGTGTGTGACCTAGTCAGTTTTTAAGTTTTTTAGTGAGTTTAATTTATTTATTTTCAATTTCTGTCCTCTAATTGGATCGATTATCGATTTTTTCAATTAAATACGTCAATCTAGTTCAACTTCGATAAATATAGGTCAATAAGTACAATATAGTTTCATAATATTTTTACCTAACTTATATTATATGTTAGTAGAGTTGTGATTATTCCTCATCTTTTTTGTTTTTCATATTGTCTAGTTCATCACAAAACTAGAATAGTCAAAGGAAATGGAAGGTCTTGATTACCGAACAAAACCATACAACACGAGAGTAATATATTAAGCCCCGGGGACTCAAATTAGAGTTTTAGGGTTCATTTGACATGACTTTTAATTTTGCTTCCTGTAAAAGAGTTTTTGAAAAAAATTATCTTTACTTTTGTTTGAAAATTAAATTTAAAAAAATCTTCTGATTCCGAAAATGCTTTTAAAATAAGTCACATTAGACCAACTTTTTCAAAAAGCTCTTCTAACTCTAAAAAAAATACTTTCATAAACTTAGAGGGTGTTTGGTAGAGATAAAAATCGAATTAAAATTGAAAACCTAGTCGTTATTGTTGACTTTTATTAAATGAGTAAAACCCAATAACGGCTATATTTTCAATTTTAATTCGATTTTGAACCGTAACAAATAGGCCAACGGGTCTAAAAATAGCTTTTAGATCTCAAAAACTTCATTGGCCTATTCAAAAATCATATCAAATGGATCTCAATAAATTTTAATAAAAATTGATGAAATCTGTAATTGAAAAATTGTGAATTCCATAAAATATAGAATTAGGATTAGTTGTTGACTTTTATTTAAATTAAATTTTAAACTTTAATCACATACTAAGAAATTAGAATCACCAGAGCAATTTTCCAAATTAGGAGGCGGCGTGGCACCAAGCTATACATTAATAAATGCGTGGGTGACGGGGTTTGGTGCGTTGACCTTGGAGTACATCAATTTATGTTTTATCATTTATGTATGAGTAATGCTATGTAGTGGGACACAAATGTTCGGATGGGCCGCTGGAGGACTGTTGGAAAATTTCAATTCCAAATTTGCTTCATAATTTGTACCATTTAATTTCAACATTATTAATGATGTGTTGCACTTCTATTTAACGTGGCACTATAATGTGACATTTCATTTATGTCCTTGTTTTAAATTAACTAAAAATAAAAATAAAAAAAGACAAAATAACATTTTATTTCAAACACATCGAACTTCATCTATAAAATTGAAAGGGATCCCACTTGCTTCTAATAAAGGGAACAATACATAACTCCTATAAATGGGAACTACATTTCACAACTAACTCCCTAAAAATTTCATATATCAGGTGGTAGATGATGATGATGATGATATAAAATTAAATTTAATCTACATATTTACCCACATCCCCCAATTTTTTTTTTTTTTTTTTCAGAAATTGAAAACTAGATATTACACCCCACACCACCCCACCCCACCCCACCCCACCCCACCCCACACTAGAAAATTTCCAAGTTGTAACCAAGTCACCGATTTGTGTTATTCGTTAATAATTATTACCAAACTTATTTTCAGTATGACTAATTGTGACCAGATTTATTTCACTGGGATTATTTATGACTATTTCAATTTAAATTGTGACGGTATGTGACTAAGTCGCAACCATCACAATTAACATATAATTGATCACAACCAATCACATTGAACAACACCATAAACAAATCGCACACACCGCAAACCAACACTACAATCTACCACCAGTCACCACCGCCATTACCTCTAATGCACCACTACCACATTCAATTCAAATTCACGACCATAAATACTATTTGCAGTGTTATCTGTGACTAACTGTGATCAAATTTGTCTTCAGTGTGACTGTTTGTAACCAGGTTAGTTTAATTTGTGACTGTATGTAGCCAAGTCATATACAATCACAATTAACATAAATCTGGTCATTGACAGTCACAATGAAAATAGACTTAGTTACACTTGATTTCCATCGCCACCACTACTCCCAACAACATCAAAACCAAACGCACACCACTTTACCGAAACCACATACACCATCGCAACAGAACCATCACTGCCTATACCACCACCAATAAAACCAACAATAACATAACCAAACCACAAATCAGAAAATCACTGACACCATTTGAATAACACCACCAACCATTCCAAAACTTTGGCTAAACAATAGATTTGATAAAAATTCTATGGATATGTAACTTTTCTTATATATCAAAATCCTAGTTAGAACAGCGATCACCCATTGCAGCTACGTTCATTACCAAGACACCTGAGAAGACGATTTGAAACTAAATGGACCAAATTGTCAATGCCAGTTAAAGATGTAATTAGATCTTATTTTTGCCATTTTTAAGATAGTACTTGTACCAGGCAGAGGGGGCTAGTTGGAAATTAAGGGTAGTGAAGCGAGCGCGAAGCATGATGTAATATTTTTCAGTCTCTCTCATTTCTGCAGTGGTGGTGAAGCAAAACACCATTACTCATAGCAGCAGCGCCGGAAAGATGTTAGAGTGGTCGGTGCAATGAGGGTAGGTAGATTGTGTAGTAAAGAGAGAAAAGATGAAGAGTGTAGGTGTTACATCTCATATTTTTTTAGTCAAAAGTCAATGTTGAATTGTCTAAGTCAAGGTCAAATATGGACTTAATTGGAATAAATTATTTTCTTGGGATTTATTTAGCAATGGATTGTATATGAGGTTATAGATGGATGAGATTTGTAGTTATGGATTTACTTATGCATCAAATGATAGGTGGACGACTTCCTTTGCAATTATCACTTGATGCCCCATTAATTAGCAAAGTCTAGACCATTCCAATTGATTTTTCTCACACACCCACGCAGAGAAGGAACCGAGAACAACCAGAGAAGAAGAAAAGTGGGAAAAAAAAAGAGAAGGAAGAAGAAGGAGAAGAGGAAGAAGAAATGGGTGTTTTAAACTTTTAAATTCACTTTTTCATTCTATTCATTTTCCTCAAAAAGTAGAGATATATTATGTTAAATTCTATGGTTTTTATTTGGTTCGAAAATTTCAATTTTAGGGAACAGATTATGATTTATAGTTCAAACTCCTTGATTGATTAGCTTCCAAGTGAATCAAGGCAAACCCCTAGATTTTCTATTGGATGCTTGAATACATATTGTTAGTGGGAATTATAGTGGTGATGTAATGTTTACAAGAAAGTATGAAATTTTGGAATAAGATGGTGATTTAATGGGTTGGATTGTAATTAGTAGTTGTCACTAGTTTGTAGTGGATATTTGCAATTATGCTTGAATGAAAAGGTTATGTTGATTTATTGGGTAATAGTAAGTGATTAGAAAGTGTAATTGGTCCCATGTGATTAAAGGAATAATTTAGGAAATTTATTCAAGTATCGAGAAATTTAGTTTAAGAATTATAGAAATGGACTATAAATATTTGTTGTTTTGATAGTGATTGAATTAGTTATCTTGTATGGTTTTTCAGGTGATGACACAGAGATTGGAAATGCCTACCGATCTTTATAGACTGTAGCTTGTTTTGAGTAAATGGGAAAACTTATTTTTCAAAAATAACTATTTAGTAAAATTATATCATTTCAGAAAGCTGATTATTTCATACACTTGATTTGATAGTATGATTTCCAGGATTAAATGAATTTTATAGTCAATTCTTTTACAGTAAAATTCAGTTTACTTAAATCTTTTCTCTAACATGTTATATTCATATTACACTTTAGTATATCTAAAGTTATTTCAAAACTACCAGAAAGTACCCCGTCTGCAATGGTGTGAATATGTTTCCACAGTGTATGACTTCTCATGGTTATTTTACCCGATTTGTACTGGTGTGAATGTGTTTCCACAATGTATGATCAGTTATGGTGATTTTACTCGCTCTGCACTATTGTGAATGTGTTTTCATAGTATATGACCATATTATAGCTCTGCG